GTCTTTACAATTTTAAACCTGCTAACCCTTGTACATAGTATATTCTTTAATTTTTTATGTTTTTCTTTAACTTGTGTCAGTAATAGTTTTAGGTTATGTTGAATAAGACATTACCACTGATTGTTTAACAACAAGAAATCTTAACTTCATAAAAAATCTTTTCACAAGAAAAAAATCCAAAATTGGTATTGCTGGATTATATATTGTAAACATTAGCTACACACTAAACTTTCAGTTATGGTTGCCTTTTATAATCTGTAGAGCCATTAGGTTGAAGATACTACGTTTTTTTATTTACATTCAGTACAGGTGCCAACCCATAAGAGAGATAAAAAAAATGTTAATTTACATAAATTTACACAATTATACTTGCCTTGGGTTAACGTTTGTAAAGATCTTACCAAGTGGGATCTCAATGAAAATGACAATTTTGCATATATTATTTTCTCTGCTGAACCACAGCAAACTGAATAAAGTTTAAAAACTACACTGAAAAATTTATTTCTCTCAATAACCTAGCCAATATGGAAAACTTACATTACATGATAATCTGAAATACAAATAATAAATTGTAACATTGCACTTGTATGTGAACTAATTTGCTTTATCTTAAACAAATCAGAAACAAATCTTAAACAAATCTGACTCAGTTATCACAAGCAAACTCATAGATTTGGAATGAGCTTGACAGTTTTGTTTTTATAAACAGTAGAGCCAACTATTTGAAACCAGAAAATGCCTCAACAGAGAGTTATTGGTATAAAACACAGTAAGTTTAGCAACAAAATCAGAGCTGCAAGTTCAATCTTCTAATATACATACATCAGATAATACTACTTAGAAGTATTTCTATTAATATTGTCAAGTGTTTACCTTGAAGGGAAATATCCCAGCATTTTGTGGGAAAATGACTGCTTAGAGCTTTTAAGTGGAAAGTGATAAACAGTATTATTCATATATTGATAGATAAGTACAGGTTTCAACAATTAAAGTTAGAAACAAAATTAAAATTAAATTTAAATAAAATTAAATTAAATTTAGATACAAAAACGTGCCACTGAAGGAAATGGACAGAAGAATTATACTCGCATCTTCCTCATCCTATTTCTCTCAGTCTCTCCCATGTCAGTAAGCAGTGCTGTGATCTGAATGCTTGTATCTCTCATAATTCATATGTTGAAGCCTAATCTCAATGTGATGGTACCTGGAGATAGAATGTTTGGGAAGTGAATAGCACCCTGATAAAAGAAATCTCATATTCTGTACTCCTGCCACGTGAAGACAGCCAAAAATATGCACATCTATGAATAAGGAAACACCAAATTTTACAAGAACTTTGATTACGGAGTTTACAGTCCCCAAAACTAAGAGAAATTTCTGTGTTTATAACTAATCTATGGAATTTTTGTTATAGTGACCTTCCCCCGCAAAGATTTAGACAAATGGTAATTTACAGTTGTTTGGTACTGTAGGCATGCAGTGATATTTAATGTTTCCTGTTTATATCAAATCTTGGGCAAATTTTTCTCACTTTGTCTTTAGAATACTATATATCCAAAATGTACAAGTTTTAACCCATAATTTCTAGGTGTATAATAATATATTTTTTTTTGTAACGGGTATAGAACTCACACAAGCAGGTGCTTGTGCTGCTGAGGTAAACTGATGGTCCTTTAATAACATTTAATCTGATACTAATACCATCATTTCTAGCTTGGATTATTGTAACATTAATCTTAAAGTGCATATCCTTTCAACTGTTTACTCATCTACCTAATAACTACTAATGGAACAACCATATATACCAGAAACTGTTCACGGGTACTTTAGAACAGAGGTAACTGAACTTTTACAAAAAATGTATCTCTTACCCATCCAGAAGCAGAATTTGTACACTGTAACAGAACACTGACTGAAAGGGCACAAAACAAAAGCAATAAGAGAAAATAATTCTAAAGATTACATGAGGAAACATTTTTCCAATCTCATAAATAAATGCACTCCAAAAAAATCTTGTATTTTATGCTTAATTATTCAAAATTGAGATATTTACGTTGTTTGACCAGCTATGCACTAACAGTACTAATAAAAAATTTTCCCCCAAAGTGACCTAACATTATAAACATGGTCACAACTGATGCAATAAATTTAAATATACACTTATTTTTTGATGTAAGTATGATAAACAATAACACTTTTATGCTTGAAACCCGACTACATCACACAATTCTGTAAGTCAAGGTTTCTCAATGGCACATTATTGACATTTTTGGAGAGAGAATTTCTTGTCAGGAGTTGCTCTGTACATTATAAGATTTTGTGCTGCATCTCTAGCCTCTTCTATAACTATACACCAGTAACACCTCACTCTCCTGTTTATGACAACAAAACAGTCTCCAGACACTACACTATGAAACTTCAACTACAAAAACATTGAGTATTGACATGTTATAATTCTGACAGATACATTTAAAGCAGTGATGTGATTGTAAAACATTTTTTGCTATTATTTAAATACATTATTTGCTATTATTTAAAATGTTTACATTATTTGCCATAATATAACGTTATCACATTATTTGCTATTATTTATCCTTTGTGAAATTATATTATTTACTATTATTTAAAATAATAGTCAAGAACTTTGGATAAGCCGATGATCAACTAGCCAAAAGCATCCTGTAGTTACGTGACATTAACATTCATAAACATTCAGCTACTGATGTTTCTCTAATCCCTCAGATGGTAATTCAGACCAGTGTTTATTTCATGTGATTCTCTAATTCCTTTGGAATAATCTATTAAATTCTTGATAAATGTCTAGGAAAGTTAGCTGAACATCAGAACTTTTAAACAAATGTAAGCTACTTGGACACAAAGTATGTATTTTGTCAAAATCTAACTTGTGCATACTAGTTAACTTTGCAAAAGATGCCTACATAATTTTAAGGCATAGTTTAATAACTTCAGTTTTCTTCGATACAGGGAGGTAGTCCCATCTTAATCCTGTTACTAGTTACCTGAAGTCCTATATAGTCTCTTACCATGCCCCCATTCTCTCAGCTTAATATTTACTGGCAAGACTAATCATTAATTCAAACATAAATATAAAATATACTGTACATAGCCCTTTGTTTTAAAACAAATATTACTAGTATTAATCAAACAGCTCTACAAAAGATACAGATAATATATGAGACGTAACAAATGTGCAGTTTAGTAATAACCTGAAAAGTTCACAATTCAGCAGCAGCACAACTGATTGGTCTCCAGACCAACCATACAAAACTCTTCAGAGGAAACCGTAATTTGAACTTTTGTTCCTGTCTTGCATGAAATTTTGGGATGCTTCAAGGCAAGTTAAAATCCTGCTAAATGTTGATAATGCCCTCAGTTGTGGCAGCTAGTTACTCTGTACCAGGCTTTAGTCTAAATCTTCCAATTTGCCTGTAATATGTTCATTTCTATGTTGAACATAACTGATCAAAGATTTTGTTTTTAATGTCTAAAGTCCTAGATCACAAAGGACAAAACAATCTTACTAGTCCTCACTAAGAGGGTGACTTAAAAGCAAAAAATACAGAAAACTCAGACAAATCAATCTGATAGTCTGGTACAGTTACTGCTCATTAAGTATGCAGAGGATTAACCTATACTTCTCAGCTACTATGGTCTTCCTGAATAATTGTTCAACTCCTAAAATCAACTCAGTGAAGACGCAGGTATTTAATAACGTTATCAGGAACCACCGGATCCATCGTTACTCATTTTACCTCTTCTAGCACTAAAAGTAAAAAGCATCACAATACAATACATCGCAGCTACCCCTAGACAGTATAGGCTTCTTGAAACTGGCAACAAAGCGCTTTAGCTCCGCACTGTCGAGTTATTTTTAAAATCTTGCGTGAATCCAAGCACCAGCCGGCTCTAGTCCCCATGGCTACCGCCAAGGCAACGCGTCAGAGCTGCCGAGTTGAGCGGAAGCCCTGCCGGGCGGGGGAGCCCGCCAGCCCCTCAGGGACCCTTTCCAGGCGGCACAGAGAATTCATTTCACCCGAAAGGAAACTGTTACAGGGCTTAGCTGACGAAGCAGGTGAGGAGCAACGGCAACCCTGCTCATCCCTGCTTTCTCGCGGAGATTACAGCGCGCAAGGCCACGCCAATTCTCCTTGATCTTGTTTTTCCTTTAAGTCTCGGGCTTATTCAGCAACTTCAAACGCCTCCACAGAAGAGCTACAGAGAACGCAGTCCACACACCTTCCTCGCGTCTTCCCGCTAGCTCCGCCTCCAGCTGCGAGGCGCGCGACCCGCGCCCCAGCTCTCCGCATAGCCCCGCCCGCTCGCTAGGACCCCGCCCACTCAGGCGCCAAGCACCCAGGCTCCGCCCCGCGCGCTCGGCTAAGAGGAAGGGGCGACAATAGATTTCTCCTCAGTTCTTTTCTTTCCCTGCCTTCTCCCTTTAGAAGGCCTTCCCACTATGACGACGCAACAGGCAGGGGCCAGGAAGACTCCACAACAACCAAATACTGTTATTAAATCTTTTCACCTCCAGAGATCGCGACTTCACCCCTCCCACAAACGCTCGAGCTCCGCCCTCACTGAGCATTCCCCCACCGCCACCCCCGCGCGCCCGCGCTTACGCTTCCCGGGCAGCGCGCGACGCCCTGGCTCCGCCTCGCCGGCCCGCCTCCGCCCCGCCCTCTCTCCTGAGAGCCATCGTGAACAAACAGGGGCGCGAGGCGTTAGGGCCGCGTGGGTTCATCCTTCCCACCTTCCTACACTGTTGCTACTTTGGGGAGTGAGACACTCCAGCTTCTTCCTCTTTCCCTTCTGCGAGTCCCTCCTTCCCTCTCCTCTTGGACCCCACTCGTCAGCGCCCGGCCAGCCCCGCTGCAGCTCTCGCGCCGAGAGCGAGCAGTGCGCGTGCGCGCTGCCGTCTGGTCCCCGCGCTCCGCCCCCCCTCCCCTATAACTTGGCTGGCTCGGAGGAGGCGCTGCTGGAGTCGGAGGGCGGGGAGCTCGGGAGAAGCTGCCCGAGAGTTGTGTGGACTAGTGACTGGGAGAAGTCGCAGCCGGTTTGGGTCGGCTGCTTCCCGCTCCCAGTCTCCGGCTCTCACACACCCACTCCGTCTCCCGCCCGGCCCGCGCCTCACTGCCTCACCCTCCCGGGGCCCCTGCCCGGCGCTCTCCGGGCCGCGGCGCAGTGGGGGTTCCCCGGGGGTACCCTCGCCCTGTGCGGGCGGGCGGGATGTGGCGCCTAGTGCCCCCGAAGCTGGGTCGCCTGTCCCGCTCGCTGAAGCTGGCGGCGCTAGGCAGCCTGTTGGTGCTCATGGTGCTGCACTCGCCGTCGCTGCTCGCCTCTTGGCAGCGCAACGAGCTGACCGACCGGCGCTTCCTGCAGCTCAATAAGTGCCCGGCGTGCTTCGGCACGAGCTGGTGCCGCCGCTTTCTCAACGGGCAGGTGGTGTTCGAGGCGTGGGGCCGCCTGCGACTGCTGGACTTCCTCAACGTGAAGAACGTCTACTTCGCGCAGTACGGCGAGCCCCGTGAGGGCGGCCGCCGCCGAGTGGTGCTCAAGCGCCTCGGCTCGCAGCGCGAGCTGGCGCAGCTCGACCAGAGCATCTGCAAGCGGGCCACCGGCCGGCCGCGCTGCGACCTGCTCCAGGCCATGCCCCGGACGGAGTTCGCGCGCCTCAACGGGGACGTGCGCCTGCTCACGCCCGAGGCGGTGGAGGGCTGGTCGGACCTGGTGCACTGCCCCTCGCAGCGCCTGCTGGACCGCCTGGTGCGCCGCTACGCCGAGACCAAGGATTCCGGCAGCTTCCTGCTCCGCAACCTCAAAGACTCGGAGCGCATGCAGCTGCTGCTGACCCTGGCCTTCAACCCCGAGCCGCTGGTGCTACAGGTAGGTGCTGAGGGTGCCGGGGGCGCCGCTCCGGGAGGGGCCGCGGGGGGCGCGCGCGCGGGGCTACGGGCGCGGGACGGTGCGGGGTGCTTGGGGCAGCAGCGGGTGGAAGGAGCAAGCCCCTGTCACCTAGGCGCGGTGTTGCTTAGAGCTGACTGCGGATCCTTCAACGCCAGAGGGAGTGCGTCTGGTACGCTCCCAAAATGTCTCTCCAGCGAGTTTCCTTTTGCCCTTCGCGCTGCCTGTCTGGTTTTACTCTCTGGAGCGTCCTGTCCCTGAGTCCCCGGACCTTTGCTGCGGCTTTATGAGGGGTTTTATATCTCGTTTGCCCCCTCCGTTTATTGTCCTCGTGGCTGGCCTAACTTCGGCCCCAGAGGCTCTCTTTGTTTTATTTCTTCGTCATCTAGTAGTGAGGGAAGGGTGGGGAGAAGGATAAGGTCAGAGATTACGACTGTGGTCCGGGGTTGGAGTTTATCATGAGACCTGATTCCAATGAAATTAGAACCCGAGAAACAGAAAAAAAGTAAGATACCGTTGGATTTGGTAGGGAATGCTAAAGGCCAAGCCGGAAATTTTTCATCCTGATCTTTTGACCTGCCTGCCTATTCATCTGATAATCGGGTTGCTGGAAGGAGGTGAATGTTAGGCCAGGGAAGAAATAGGGAGCCGAGTTTCCCCCCTCTTGCCTAAATACCTTATTTGCCCCCTTCTTATTTTATTTGGGGAAATATAATGTAACTGGTGGCAGCAAAAAGAAAAGAAAAAAAGAAAGTAGTTTGCCCCTGGAGTAGTTACTTGAGTTTCTACACTTCCCCACCAGGCTTCAGTGCTCTGGTGTCCTTGGACAGTGATTACAGCTATGGGATTGTGATCTCTCCTGCTAACTGCAGGAAAAGTTACCATGTTCCTCTTTTGTGACAGTTTTGCTGCATTTCAAATACAGTAGGGAAATGATTTAAAATTTAATCAAGTATTTTTGGTATAGAGTTCGTGCTCTTTCTGTGGTACTAACAATGTCATTAATGCCTGGAGGATTTTTACTTTATTTTTATCTAAAATGCATGGTCAGGAATGTGTAACATTTGTTTTCCTTTTTCAAGTTGTCTGCTGCCCATTTTAGCTAATCTAAAGCAACATTGTTTGATTAGGTCAGCCATATAATCTCAACACAAATACTTAACTTCAAATGAAATTTTAGTATTTTAAGGTGTCCTAGGGTGTATGTAATGGGTTAATTTTACAGTTAGGTTGTATGTTAAATACTGCTGTATCTTAGTGGCATATAGAACTAGTTAAACGTTCTTCGAAGAAATTTACTTTATTCAGAAGCTCCAGAACTAGTTAGTCTTTGAAGGTCAAGTCCATATTTGTGATATACGTACAGCTGAATTTAAGTGATTTTTTTTCCCTTAAGTTATCTTTCCAGGTAAAAATTGTATTGTTTATGTCAGTATGATTGTTTCCTAAAGAAAACGTTACCTATAGTTTGCTGTGGGAGATAGTCTGTCAAAGCCTCTGGGGACCCAAAAATTTAGTAAGGACCTATCTTAGTAATGCATATTTCCTACATTTAAAACATTGACTGCTTATTAAAAGAATTTTACCAAGTTGTAATGAGTCGATGTATTAGAGATAGCTAATATCAGGGCTAATGTTTTTAAAGCAGTTATCTGGTTCTGGTTTTTATAAACATAGCCATAGCTTCCAAACGAGAAAATTTGGATTGTGATTTACACGAAGGTAAATCTGTTTTATTTAGGAAGCTTTTCTATTTTTGAAGTTCTCTTGGCATTTTCAGTTTGTTTAATAGTTGAGATAATGTGCTTGTATCTTGTTTTCAGATTAACTCTTTTCTCAGACTATTTTCATCTTGGTGATAACCATGTTAAAAATTACAGTTATTATTTTAAACTTGGTGATGCAGTTATTCTATGTGGATCGATAAAGTATACAATGAGTTTGTTTTTAGGATGAGATATGTGTATCAACCTTGTAGACTATGACATTTGTAAACTGTATTTTTAATTTAGACAACCCAGTTCTCAGTACTATCGCTTCATAGCTGGTTACATGCTAAATTTTGTAGTTTTTACTAACAGTCGGTCATATTGGCATGTTATTTTTCTTAATCTGATAAGAAAGTAGAGTATGACTTTTTAAAGTAAGATCTTTAAATAGCTATTTTCATTATAAAACCACTCTATTATTGGTTAAAAATCAGTAAGTTCCAAATGTAGGTAGTGTAATTGAGGATTGGTGATGGTATAAAACTAAAATGAAAAGAACCTTTAAAATGCTCACAAACACAGATAGAAATATCAATTACTTAAAACTGGCTACTTAAATGTTTTTGCTTCGTGGAAGTTTTAAAAATGTCTCAAGGGTACCAATATGTGTTTTACAGCTTAAAGAACTCACATTTCATTTCCAGGAGAGGGAGCCACTCGTTGAATTTTTCAACAGTTTTTGACAAACTAGAATTTTTTTTTTATCTTCTGTTGTCCAAAATTAACTACTCGGAAAAAAAAAAAAATTAGAACTTCATCAAACTACTCTTTAGAAGTTGGTTTATTCTGATTAGAAAAAAATTAAAAAAATTTTTTTAGTTTCTATTATGTCTTGAAAGGAGACATAATAGTTTATAAGATACATGCATGTATACATGTCTTATGTAGGTTTATAATGCAAATTTCCCAATTGAAGCAGTTTGGGTGTTGGATGATTTTACAGGTTTACAGCAACTATTGTGGCTTGTAGGAAAGTTGTTCTACCACAGAATTATCTTCTGAGAAAATATTTTAAACTAACAAGATAATGAGTACTACTATCTTTTACTGTGATACTTTCTTTTCCTCTACAACATTTTTATTTTACCAAGAGAAGTGTTTTAGTACCAAGTATGTCATAATCCTATAGAAAAAAACTTGGGGAGGGGAGCTTTGTTGATTTTTGTGTTGTGCAGTAACAGTCTTGGAATATTCACAGATTGAGGTGCAATTGGCAAGACAATGTGTTATTTTACTGATTAAATTTTCTGTAGTATTTGTTCCTGTTCTTGAATTTGCAAAGGACTGTGTGTACTTAGGGAAAAGGAGAAGAGAGATAGAGACAGAGATATACTCTCTGGATTTTTTGAAGACCAGAAAGTATCTCTGACTTTGAACTAGAAATACTGAAGATGGTCTTATTTATAGGAGATGAAGAATGAGTTTAGTTATGGGAGTGGTAAAATTACTTTTAATATTGTATTTGTAGAATTTGCCTTACATTTTCTGAGTCATGGTTTTAACATATGCCTTAATATTAACAAAACTGTCATTTTATTTCTTGTAAATAGAAAAATAATATGTAAAACATTTGTATTGTATACCTGGTATATAAACATTAAATGGATGTTAATAACTAGGTAAAAGTGGTGACTTTTATCTAATAGTATACTTGACTAGCTGCTTTGTAGCTTTTTTGACATGTGAATCATTTTAGAAACAGTGATTCTATCAGCCATATTTCTAGTTATACAGATTTTTCTTCCTACATTAAGGAATGAACTTTTGTGGAGAATTTTGAGTGAATGACATTTTTGTTTTAAATGATTTATGTAGTATAGATTTATATGATTTTCAAAGTATAGAAATACTTTGAAAGTGCACTGCTGAAAATAGTTTTTAAAGTAAACAAAGAAGATTACTGTTATTTAGCTAATTGTATCATTTTGAGCAAGTGAGCATTTTTATGGGACTCACTTTCCTTCTTATAAAATGAGGCTATTATGTTAGATTTTTTTCCTATTTTGACCTAGCATTCTGGGGCCTTCAAATTCTTTGTTTGGAAATGTTTAGTCTTTTTTTTTGCTTTTGTTTTTTGTTTTTGTTTTTGTTTTTTGAGGTATCTTCTGAGTTGGCGTTAACTGATGAGTTTAATTAGGGTTTTCTAAAAGGAGATTAGGAATTTGGGTATTAGGTCTTTGCTGGGGTATGAGTTTGACTATTTAAAAATTGAGGTGTCATGGCAGTTAGCAAGATAGTTATTTTACAGATATGTTTTATGTTAGTGTTTATACCTGCCTAGTCTTGAAATTACACAGAACCTGTGTGTGTGTTTGTGGGTATGTGAGACAGAAGGGAAGAAACAGTAACTTTCTTTTAAGCCTTTTCTTCCTACCCCAGGATTTTGATATACTTGAAGTCAGGCTAAAACAAAACAGATCATTTCTTCTGAGGGTAAAACATAACAGAAATGTATGTAGCCAAGCATTTTCTGGGGCAATATTTCTGGATGAAAGAATGTTTTCTACTTTTTCCCCACATAGTTTTTCAAACAACAATGTAGGGAGCCGCCCCCAATGGCTGTTGGTTTAGTAGTTTAATTTCTAGATTTAGGCTTCAAAAATACATTAGCATTATTTATCTAATAAGTTGATAAGCTTTTGAACTCGCTCTAGTTTTTCATTTCAGATTGACACTTTTGACATTTGAATAACAAAGCTGGGTAAGATGGCATATGCCTTAAATCTTAGTATATTTGAGTAGCCAGCCTGGGCAATTTAGCCAAGACACCATCTCAAAGTTTAAAAAGTTTTTAAAGGATTAGGAGTATGTAACTTAGTATGAAGGTCTGTGGGTTCAACCTCTAGTTTTGTGAAAACAAAAATAATAATAATAATAATAAAAACCTAAGTAAATACCTACTTCAAAAAGGGAGGGTGACTTAATTTAGAAAGACCCTAGAAACAAGACAATCTTCCATAAGAAGGCATCATTTCAGGACCAGTGGAACATAATCATTTACCTTCTTGGTATAGACTCTGGATTTTTCTGTATTTTGACCATTGTTAATACTGTCTTTTCTGTGTTTTCTAATCTTTAAACTGTTCTTTATATCTGCACTGTATGGGTTAGTATGTATTCTTTACATATGTTGCCGAAGAATAGTAAGCTTGCCTTTTAGTGAAATTCTCCTTTCTAGACTTGGGTGGCCAGTTTCTCTGGGGATATTCAAAC